GAAAATGGTATTTTACTAGCACGTATACGCTTAACCCTAGATTGAGAAAAAAACGGGCAAAATAAACTTTGCTGTACCTTATGAGAAAACTTTGGCAAAACACTTGTCAAAGATTTAGATAAATGCAGATAAATCTGGGCTTCGATTCAGAAAACTTTTGTAAGTTTTTTCATAAAAATCGTACCTAAGTACTCAAAATATTCTTAACTATGAAAAAAATTGGTATTCAAACATTCAGTAAATTATTCTTAGAAAATCAAACCACTTAAGTTCAATCTCCTTAGCAACGCATAAAAATTCTTTCCGAACAAAAAGTGTGCTCTTTTGTAACGGAGGTGTTTAGTTCGACTACTATCTTACATTATATTTGTCAAAATCATTTTGTAAATAGATATTGATAAAGCTACGTCGTCATCATTGTACATTGTCAATACATTTATATGTTTCGTTTTGTTAATGCATTTATGGGATTAATCAACATTCGATATCTTCATAATTTACATTATTATACTTTAAAACAAAATCCGACACTTGTTTCCATGTTAGCAATCAAGTGTCAAGAAGAAGTCTCTTGCTGTGAGCTTCAATTTAATAGTTAGGTATATTGATGATGCTTTGTCAATTTGCAATATTCATTTTCATTCAAACATTGATTCGATATGACCCATTAAACTCAATAAAAGATAGTACAGATTCTGACACATTACATATTTGGATGTTTAACTCAAGATAGACATTGATGGTAAACTAAGCCATCAACACCTAAGCTTAAAAGATGATAAACGTGATGACTCCAAATCCTCTATCATTAACTTCCCGTATTTGTGTAGCAATATATAATTTTTCACCTGCAATTAGGGTTTGTGTCGCCAGTGAATTCGAAGAGCAAGAGCATGCTTTCGTATGAACAGTTTCTACATGTATAACGACTGCGCTGCTGACGAATAAGTTGATGATTAGGGTATCAACAATTTCGTTAAGGGCCAACATTTCGTAAATTCTGTGATCAATGCAATGATCTTGTTTGCAAATACATTATGTTGTTAGCTCGAATGTTGACTGATGTCTTTCATATAAATTTTTAGTTCTTTATTTTCTTACTGAATTGTGAAAACATTTTCCCTTTATCTGATTAAAACAAAGGATAAGTGGCGGAGGTAACCGATGATGCCTACTCCCCCATGGCACCTGATCTCACCTCTATTTTCAGAGGTCCTTGTTTGCTCTGCTCACAATTTGTATTGTTTAACTGTACTTTGAGTATGATTACTAGTTGTTATTTTCGCAGTGCAGATTTAATTCCGTAACTGTCGAGTACCAACAAATGCAAATTATATACAGTTTGTTGGCTCATTTTCGATGATTTCGCCCAAAGGGGGGATTAAAAGATGCAAAGTAGATTTAGATATATACAGGAAACAATATTTAAAGTTGAATCAAATAAATTAATTACATCATTTATACATGTATATTTATTTAACAATAAATTAATATATGTACCTGAAACAAAAAAATATCACGTTCATAATAAGAATAATATTTTGAATGAAAATTGTGATTATTAAAAAAATTGCAATCGGTATGACCTCTTTGTGGAAGCAACAGTTCATGAACATTTTCGAGAAAGCATTTTCCAACCATATAAATTGTATAAAGCAGTAAAAAATCAAAATCATGCAAAATCAGATTGTAGAATAAATAACTACCCTAATCGTAAATAAATAGTTCAGACACTTTACCCTAATCTGCAGCAAAACTTTGACGTACATTTTCTTTTTAATTACGCTAAAGTTGTATACAATCTCTAAACGAGCATGTTAAACTGAAGATGCCCGACAGATTTGCGCAAAATAAAGTAAAATAAAGTAAAAATTTTCGCCAGAAATCACCAATATTTGTAGAAGAAAATGTGAAGCGTTTTTGCCTATCGCCATCTTGGACTGGGGTAACGTACTTTACCCTAGTCCGTTTCTACACAGTGAACATGCTGTGAACTGACAAGTTACATTTATAGCGATTTGCCGCCACGACGCAGTGGTAAGAGCGTTTGCTCTAGATTCGCGATGTAAGGGTCTGATCTTTACACCGCTGGTTCGAATCCGACTGCTTCGGATGAGACCGTGTAATCCGAGGTGCTGTGTCGCAGAAGGTACTGGCACGAAAAAAATCCCTCTCTGCTCAATTGCTCTGAGTGCCAAGTAAAGGTCAAAATTTGCTGTAGTTGTATCAAATCTATCTTACCGGTATTTGATTTGGGATATACTTTTCGATTATAATTACAGTATATCTTAAAAATCAAAAAAAAAAAAAAAAAAAAAAAAAAAAAATGACGATTGCAAACATTAATCTGTATTAAATCGAAAGATGCATATTATGAGCAATTCTTTTTTAAATTTGATTCAATATGAATATGGGTATAAATAAGCACTGAAATGGTGTAAAGAGGCATTCTTATATAAAGACTAAAGAAGCAGATTTTTTTTTCAATTTGTCAATATCACTATATTCCCTACCTTTTTTGGAGAGGGTGTATTCAACTTTGGGAGTTGTAATATAAAAATGCCATTTGAACCAGATGCGCAGCTGGATTTTGGAATATGGGAATATAAGTATACATGCCCCACGACCCACTTTTTAGTGTCAAATGTGTCCACTCTGTACACAAAGAAAATCCGGGAAGGCAAAGTGGGACACATATCAATTTACAATATATCCCATTCAACCCTGTCAGAGATCTCATTGACCCTTAAAATTGAATCTTTGAATTTCTTTCAAAACTCTAGAATATTTTTTTTAAATTTTTCAAACATAATTTTCAGAGTAAAATTAGTGAATATACAATGTTTTGCAAAGATGAACAGCCGTCGCGGTAGCTCTATCGGTAGAGCGTTTGTTCCGTGATCGGAAGATCGTGTGTTCGAATCACGGCCGCGACTGATCTAAGTCGATAACAAATAGGTAGCAACTGTTCCTTCGCCGAGCGCTAGGCACTTTGAAGTGAAAGTTGCGGGTCCCTCGGCACTCTCTACCATCGGCTCATACATTCACCTCTGTCGTTGGCTCGCGTATATCTCAGTGATAAGTATGAGAAATAGTGCGTTTGTTTTAATTCATTATAATGAAATGTCTGAGCTAATGATAGTCCTTAAAGATATATATTTACTAAATAGATATAAAACTATTAGTTTAATTTGAAATAATCCTTGAAATGTAATGTTTTTTTTACGTTACGTCAAAAATCTTGACGCGAGCCCATTGCAGAAGTGTCTGAGAGAGGAACGAACGACAACTCTGCATAGGAGATTGGTCCTTCTGATGAGACCTTAAAAACAGTGTCACGGTAGGTGTTGGCACGATAAAAAAAAAAAAAAACCCTCACTCCTCAATGGCCCTGAGTGCTAAGTAAAGGTCTAAATTTGATTCCCTTTTCCTGTATGGTCACGTCTTTATATGAGTGAAAAATTCTCGATCGGAACATAAAACAACCTATAATCAATCAAGGAAGGGCAAAAGTTATCATGCTCAAAAGTCAATTTAAACAATATAAGTTGTAAGCAGCGCAAAGACGGACCTTTGCAAACAGAGGATGGATCATATGCAATGGAGGACTGATGATCCCCTGCAAACCTGTCACACTCACCGTTTACTATTTATCATTATGGGGTAATTGGAAAAATCAATGATAAGATAATCACCTTACATTTTGTGTAAAATACGTAAGTATGGACCATATTATTTGCAAAAAGATGACTTTAACCAAGGTTGTTGATATCATTGTATCATCATCTCATTGATCAACATTTTCACAATGTGTTTTGTCGGATATGATGTAGATTTAGAGTACATTCCTCCCTTTCCATTGAAAACGGGTAAAGATAGGGGTACTCGTAAAAGATTTCTAAGAGAGCAGTTACTATAAATCTTTATAGCAATACTCTCCAGAAACTACAAAAAATGTAGATAGAATTGATAGGCAGAAATCAACTCGTTTCATGTTGTTGTGATCCCAGATTTTATAGGTCCGGTTTTTTTTTTTTCAGATTTATTACATAAAAACATACTTAAACAACATGCTTGCGGATCTCCTTGTAAACATAAACTGCGTGCTAATTTAAAGCATATCATTATAAATACCCCTTCATTTCTGGTTCCAAAACAGTCGTTTAAAAGGTAAGATTTTTTTGTCCATTAAAAAATTTGTTAACTGACTAATTGATTTTAAGAGACATTTATTTCTTTTCAATTGGAATAAATGTCTTTATACTTTGACAATCATCAAATCTTTTCTTTTTTTTCAGAGGAATAAAAACTCTCCTTAAAATGGTGTCTGTAATGGTACATGTATTATTGAACTGGAAAGTTAAACAATATTTCTCTCTCTCTCTCTCTCTCTCTCTCTCTCTCTCTCTCTCTCTCTCTCTCTCTCTCATAATTAAAAAAAAAAGATTTTTATCCCCAAAAATATCACTATCGTATCGTGATATTTTTACACGGAATTTTTACTACAATTTCTAATGAACTTCTAAAAATTTTCTTACAAATACACTGTTAAAAACTTCACTTTTTTTCATTTTTATCAAAAGCATGTTTGGATGCCGTAGTTTTTTTTTTTTTTTTCAACATTTTTTAGACTTACTGTAAATTTTATTCTTTAGTTCGAAGAAATAAATGAATAATTTCTGCAATTTATAATTATGCACCAAGTACAAGTATTTTAGTTTCCGTATCACGATACATATCACGCAATAAAAAAACCAGGATATACCGGAATACCGATAAAATCGCGCATCCCTACAATATATGGTTGCAGACAAAACACTACATACTTCTCACGTACAGTGATATTACATTGAACGCAAGTTCTTAATGTTGCAATTTAGCTCGAGAGCATTATTTCGCGAATGGATTGTTGTTATGAATTTTTACCTGTAATTAAGCAATATTGAAATGGAATTGAATAAATCGTGTTGAACGTCTAACAAAATTACACTATATTTTTGTGTTTATGAGGAATTTACAGTATAAGCCATGGATTCTTGCTAGAAGCACCAATCTCGAAATATATCACATGCTGTTACTTTAATTTTTCTGAAACACATACAAAAGATGGTAATCAAATGTCACCTCGTATTAAACAAAATTTATGTACTTGTTATTTGAGATCTGTAATATTTTTTTTAAGTATAAAATAGGGAAATCAAAAGAATATGTTAGATATATTTTTATCCTGTCATTTTAGGTAAAGATACTCGTTCTTATGGTGGCAGTGTTTAGTCTCTTCCAATCTGAGTTGGACGCTGCCTCTGTCCACTGCGGCTATCACGGACACTATTATACATCAATGTACTCTTCATCTAATGGCTGCACTACAAGATGGTACAAACTCTACAAAGGTTACTGTACGTCATCCGGGGTATTGTTTATTTTTTTTTAAATGCTTCCGTGCTCTCCTATGTAACCACACTTCTCTATCCTTTATTCAAGTTTTTTGAATATTATATATATATATATAGATATATATATATATATATATATATATATATATATATATATATATATATATATATATATATATATATATATATATATATATATATATATATATATATATATATATATATATATATATATATATATATATATATATATATATATATATATATATATATATATATATATATATATATTCAGACATACTTATATGAGGTTAGAATCACCGCTTTAGGAATGCAACTCTATTATAAAAGGATCAGTTGTAAGAGGTAAGTTAAATCTGTACTATGTTTCTATATGAATTTTCAGATATATTTTGAAAATATTATTGAAATTGATCTTTTTTTATCAGGAGAAGTTTAGCCGGAATCAATAAAGACACAGGAGAAAGGTAACGGTTATTAAAATATTGTGTGTGTGTGTGTGTGTGTGTGTGTGTGTGTGTGTGTGGGTGGGTGGGTGTGTGTGCATATATATATCCAAAAGATATGATTATATAGCTAAAATTTTAAAATTCTTGATTAGACTTGTATTTCTAATTTTAGCATTGAGAAGAAAGACGCTAAGGTAAAAACGAGCTTGAAAAACGTACAGATGAATCTTTCTCTCTCTCTCTCTCTCTCTCTCTCTCTCTCTCTCTCTCTCATTTGAGACCAAAATAATATATAGTTACGTATTTTTCTCACTTTTACTCGTTTTATATTATATTTCATTTTATTGAAAAGGAGTACGAGTATGACAGCATACAAAACGCTTTCAGCAGAGGGACAAATTAACGAGACCTTTTAGAATCTAGAGTAAGTTAAACCTCATGTCCAACAACTTTTTTAATCGAGTTGAAAAAAAAAAAATATTAAGGCAAACAGGTTGGGGTTGAGGGTGGCTTGATTTATCATGTTATTCAACATATTTTAATAATTTTTCCGCATCTGAGAATATCATGACTTCTATAAAGAAATTTCTTCTACGTAGATTATTTATTAATTCTTAAATGCTTCATATAATTTATTCTTAAAGGGGATGAAAAAAGAAAATCACCTTCATCGGCATCGGCCTGAAATCCTTTTGTCATGCTTTGAATAAAAATAATGCATTTTCTGCAATGTTTTATATTTTTGATATTATAGTATATATGATTTTATAATAATACATTTAGTATTTGGTAAATAACAAAAACAAGATGGTGTTCAATATATAATACTGACATTAAATGACCAATTAGCATCCAGTTCGAAATTTTTCTAATGGTGGTTAACTGCGCTGGTACTCAGCCGTCAGTTTGTAGCAATTTTATCATATTTTGGTTATAACTTTAAAAAACTTTCTGGAATGAATCCAACCTTTATACTCAAGTGTGTTTTATGACCGGTGACATTACGCGCAGAATGACACTGCGCGTATTGTAACCCATCAGTAGATATTGTTTGTCCATGAAAAATAAGATATCCGAATTCACTGTCACTGAAGACGAAATGTACACACCTGTGCGGCACATATTGTTGCCCAAAACTTAAGAGATTACTTAAACAATATAATACTTTCTTTAAATGTTGGTATAGAATAAATATTGCAGAAATAATTTGTTTTCTTTGTCATTTACTTATAAATGTAAGGCAATAAAAAGTGTACATTTATATGCTTAATTTTCATTCCGCAGTACACAAAAGAACAGACAGCAGCAACATATGTGTGCAATGTTTTACATCAAAATTTATATCTTCTCAAACCAGATAGATATTTCTGCATTATTTTTAAAAATGTATACAAATAGGTACATGTAGTGTGATTGCAAAACCTCGAGATAGGTTAACGTTTAACTCGATTGTTATAAACATGTACGAACAAAGATGGTAGATATTCATCTACATGCATATTTTAATCATATATTTTAATCAGATTTCAAAAAAAAAATCTGCATTTTTTATGAATTTGCTGCTATGCAGTCTGCTATATGTGTGGATATTCTACATGAATTGTTTATCCTGAAAAACCTCGTTATCTTAATCTAGATGGGACCGAGTAAAAACTAAACGAAATCAGATATCAAGAATAAAATACTTACAAAACTTGTGGTTGGGACTTCAAAATCAAGTATAATCATGGTATTCGAGCCATCAATGTTCGGGAACAGATGAACAAGCATCGTTAACAAAATTACACTATGTAATGAAGATTTGCATAAAGGCACTAACAAAAATGAATTTAAAAACAGTTTCATTATTATGCAAGAGAATATATTTTTATAACTGAAAACAGATAATTCTTAAAAATGAAATCAAGCCGCTTGGGGGTCATTTCAGAGTGAAGTCCTGTCGTATTTTGTTAATCCAAGTTTTCAAAACATCTGAAAAAAAAAATTAAAAAATTCTTAGCAGTATTATTTTAAGTTGTACTTATGCATTTGAATTTAACCATTGATTGGCATTACTGTTAAGGATTTTTAAATGAAGAAAAGTATTTTTTTAAATTAATAACATCAAAATGTATAGTTAATTTTCGTCCGAAGCAAAAGAGGATGTACATGTACATGTGACTACAGAAAGAGCCATTCAAAGTGATGAAGGATTTAACGGAGCAAAGACATCGTTGCATCGCTGATTTGTTTACAATTTTAGATTTCTCTTTGTACTTGAAAAATAATTTCAGTTTAATAAATGTAAAAAAAAAAAAAAATGAAAATTATAATATTTAATGACATCGGCATTCTTCACAGCCTTATAAAAACAATTGTGTTTGTAAATATACGTAGGAGCTATGTTTCATGTAATGGTTTTGTAGATGTTTTACCGAATGTGTTCGACTTGCTAATACTGCACGCATTATTGAACACAGACTGACACCACTGGTATGTTTCTAAAAAAAAAACTTCCCTAATCTGTTTTTTTTTTCTTAATCAGGAATAGTTTAATGTTCTGAAAACAAAGGATTTAGGCTAAGATATGTTCACTATTTTGAATCATTAAGATATAAGACAGGGGAATCCTTACACTACAGGACGAAAAATGTGCTGAGAATCCCAACTTTTACTGATAATGTTTGATAATTACTGATACGGTGCTGTTCTTGCTGATAAATACTGATATTTACTGTTATTATTACTGTCGTTGCTGATAATTTTAGTTGTTTCTGATAAATACTGATAATTACTGTCGTCTTTACTGTGGAGTCTGATAAATACTGTTGATGCTGAGATTTACTGATAATTACTGTGGTCTTTGTTCTTAAGCTGGGAAGGGCTAAGGAAGAACTAAGGGCTGTAAAAACCTTCAATTATTTCTTTCTTTTAATTATAAATTATCATTCCGACATTTTCATATTTCTTTAAATGTTCTGCTAGTGACAAAAATTACGCTGATCTCATTTACTACAATATGGTTGTGAAAATGTTGACAATAAATAAATGAAACCTTCCGCGTATATTAAGCAAATATTTTCTACCAATCTATGAAAAAAGTATAATTTATCTGTAAGCAAGATAAATGGAATTTTATTAATGTACTGTAAATAAAAAGAAAATAAGGCTATCTTTTAAAAAAATTCATCGCCGCCCTCTTCCAACTCCAAGATATTTGGGTAGGGAGGTCGAGGATTTTTATTTTATTTTATTTTTTTTATTAATAAGAAATAGTTCTTAATGGGTGGAAAAAAAAATTCGGGATAAAAAATATTTCCTGCAGGTTAGAAAAGTTTGATTCGCACGGTTTCACTCCGTTAACTGGTCAAGAGAGAACGACATTTTCTTTTTAAAGATGACCTTTCCTATAGCTATTTTTGTTTTTTACTTTCTCAAAGACATTTATTTTTTTCATTTTTTAAATGTTCGGTTTTCTGGTCTCTGTCAAGATATTTGAAAATTTGCCCGAAAATTAGAAATTTTATGCATTTTTAAATTTAATAAAGAGATGAAAACAGAGGTGGATATGTTCAATCTGGAGGCACAGATTATTTATTTATTTATTTCATTTATTCATTCATTCATTTATTCATTCATTTATTTGAACGATATATAGGCATTTTAGATTCTTCCAGAATATCTCTTCTACATCTACATGTACACGATACATACATGTGCAACCGGCAGATTGGGGGCTGATTAAAAATTAGTGCATTGTCAGAATCCCCAGTGTCAGAGCAAAGGTACACATGTGTTTATGTTATTTTGATGTTGGTCTCTTAAAATTTCATGACACGAAACATTTTTATTCAATAAGTTTTAAAATCTCATTAATTTAATTTTATGGAATGTGAAATAAGAAATGAGACCTAATATAATATGTTTACTTAGTAAAGTACATGTATATAATCAAATTGATCAATTTTAATATTGTGTGGTCAAAATTGCATGGAATAAATTGATCTTCATTGATCAAAAATCGAAGATCAGTCTCTGATTTGGCTGTATTGTGTACAATGTCTTCCGCCCCGGGGTAGAACGGGGAACAACTTGTATATTCCATGTAAATTTAGTGGTCAGTGTAACAATGAGCACTAATTACCTTTTTCCCCGTCTGTGGCCACCGGTGTACATAATAAACAAACTACCTACACTGTACAATCATGTACTTTCTTCTTTGAGCAGGAAAATCTTAACGGTCGCACGGAAAAAAAATATCCTGTAATATTCAATTTGTTGACGAATAAAATTGAAAATTAAAAAAAAAAAAAAAAAAAAAAAAAAAAAAAAAAAAAAACTATTTAGCAAAATAGGACATTGCAGTACTAAGATAAAAAAAGAAAAAAAGAAATGAAGTTAATATATACATATACATTGTACAGACTTAATATTCAATCATTATTTTAATTCATATAAATCTATCTTTGCTCAGTATTTAATTTTATTTGTTAGTTTTATGCACATTTCTTGACATGCTTGAGATAAATTTAAAAGAGAATCCCGGAGAGGGGGCTCATGTATTTTAAATTCTGAATCTCGGTTAACGATGGTTTGGGGCCCGTGAAACGGAGACGAGAAATTGATACAGAACATTTGAATTCATCTTATAATTAAAAAATTATGCAAAATGTACATATAAATTTAAAAAAAAATAGATGGTTTAGTGAAAGCAATTGTTGATATTATATTAGCATTAACTGTTCACAATTCAGAAACAGGGAATTAAACTCCACATGGCTCAGAATCCGTGAAAAAAAAAATCTTTTTATGAATTTTGAATGACAGTAACATGACGTTGTTTATCGCACTCATGAATAAATGTTAGTTCTGAATTTGGTATAGTTCATTGATTCTCTAAAATAATTTTATTCATATATATAAAAAAAGTTTGTAATAAGTAATTATAACATGTATGATTTATTAAACATAAAACTAAAGAATCAACCTTGCGCGTATCAGTTTTAAGTTATTTCACCCCACCCCCTTTTTGTGCTACAGTAAAGCATAATCAATTCGGTAAGCGCCCAGCCTGTACTGTTCGTTTATACAAAGGTCTCCGACAAGGAGAAAATGGAATAAAAAAACATTATAATCTCTGTACAAAACTATTTCTAATTTTACAAAATTCATGTCGCACGATACACAGAATGTACTAATAATTGACCCGATTCTCAAAACGAAAGTAAAACTTTTACACTTGGTTGACATGTGTGTTCCAGAACAGCAATTTAGCTAGACGGCATTAATGGACGAAAGTAACTTCAAGTTTTGTTTTATTTTGTTTTTTTTAATGACTGACCGCGTATAACATGTATAAGCAGTTATTTATTGATCTCCCTGATACTGGCGTACGTATGTCCATAGACCTAACGCAGATTTATGTACTATTATCAAGGAATTAAAGAAAGACGTGTATTTCATTGATTGAAAATCACACTGCATAAGATTTATAGTGTACTGATGGCTTAACAATTAAAATATATATATATATATATATATATATATATATATATATATATATATATATATATATATATATATATATATATATATATATATATATAAAACAAAAACAAAAAAAACAAAGATAGAAAGCGTCGATACCACAAAATGATATCAAATTCGCATCGAGGACATAATCAGAGAACTAGAGCGCACTGGCTATATGTATATAAAAGAGATTATTCTACAAATTAAAGATGTT